CAGAGCCAAGAGTATTTGCCTAAAAAATTGGAAGGCCCTCTCTAGGAACTAGACTTATGCTCTGGGACTATGGCACGTGCTGGACTCAGTGCTAGTCAGGAGTGGAGGCTAACGGAGTCTGGAAGGTTCCCACAGGAGGGAGAGCTCCACGTGTTTGAGCTGCATTGCATATCAGTCTTGACACCTTTCTCTTGCAGGAACATACTCTTAAAGGCTTCCCCAGGAGGTTGGGGCCCTTGCTCTGTAGCCCTTGCTCTGGAGCTATTGTTGGAACTGGGCCCAGTGCAAGCCAGAGTTTGTGGTGTCAGAGCTGGAAGACCCTTTTAGAGAGAGGAGCAGGGCCAGCAGGTGGCACAGTGGTTAAGGCACTGGATTCCCATATGGCCCACTGCAGTTCAAATCCTGTATCTGACAGCCTGGATCTGGCAATTTAGAAATCATGCTGGGTTCGTGTGCATGCAGACCTAAAATCCCAGGAAGAGAATGGAAGAGAAGGGATTGCAGTGTGGCTATCTTTCCTGGGTGGTGATTTCTCACTTTCCCTCTCTGTCTCTCCAGGAAGTGCCCACGTGGTGATTCAAAAACATTAAAAAAAAAAAAAAAAAAAAAAGAGGAAGGGAAAATGTTCTCAAATCACTATGTGATATAAATGAGGACTTTTGTGATCCAGATTGCAAGTGTTTATAGATGCAGTGATGTGAATTTGTTGGGGATGGGAGTTTCCTGGAGGTATTGACCACAGTGGCCCTCTGATCCTGGCTGTGACACATAATGCATGGGGACTCCACCAGTCAAAGAAGTATATCTGGTGGGAGTTGTTGTAGCAGGTGCCAGGTGTGGGACTAATAGAGACCTCGGGCTTTTTTTGAGGTCTGTGTGGGGCACAGCCAACAGAAACTGTAACACCCAGACTGGTGTCCTCAGACCCTGTGCAAAGTGCTTGTAGTTTATAGTAGTTCTGCTCTTCTAAGGGGTCTAGCCTCCAGCATCGGCAGGAGGAATGCCTAGTG